GGTTTGGTCTCCAAGATATATAAATAACTCGCTCGAGTCCACTCCAAGAAGACAAACGATCCAATCAAAAAATGGACAAAAGACCTGGGCAGACGCTTTTCCAAGGAGGAGCTACAGAGGGCACAGAGGCATTTGAAAAGATGCTCGTCATCACTAGCCATCAGAGAAATGCAGATCAAAACCACAATGAGGTACCACCTCACACTGGTCAGAATGGCCATCATAAACAGATCCACAAACAGGTGCTGGCGAGGCTGTGGAGAAAAGGGAACACTAGTACACTGTTGGTGGGAATGCAGACTGGTGTAGCTACGGTGGAAAGCAGTGTGGAATTTCCTCAAAAAGCCGAAAATGGAACTACCTTTTGATCCAGTGATTCCCCTTCTGGGACTATACCCTAAGAATACCAAAACGCTGATTCAAAAGGACCTATGCACCCCAATGTTCATAGCAGCACAATTGAGAATAGCCAAGTGCTGGAAGCAACCTAAATGCCCATCAGTAGATGACTGGATCAAAAAACAATGGTACATTTACACAATGGAATACTACGCAGCAGAAAGAAAAAAGAACTACTAAACTTCACGAAAGCATGGATGGAACTCAAGAGCATTTTGCTAAGCGAAATAATCCTGGGGGCGAAAGACCAATATCATATGATCTCACCTATAAGTGGAACCTAACCAACAATACAAAGATGCAAGGAAAATAAGACCAGCAACACTGAAAGGAAAAGAAACCAACAGAGAGAAGAGGGAAGGAGGGAGGGGGGACAGGGGAAAAGGAAGGGAAGGGGAAAGTCAAGGAACATATAGCAAGGACTCATGGACAAAACCAAAGGGGAAGAGTGGAGGGAGGGAGGGAGAGAGGAGGCAAGAAAAAGTGGTGGGGGGTAGGCAGAGACAAATGTAGTTGAAAAAATAAATTAATTAATTTATAAAAAAGGAAAAAACTAAAATAAAATCAGAAAAGATTGTATGAGTAGAAAACAAAGGATAAATTCACAGTTTTAGGAAAAGGGACCTTAGACAACTTTTGTAAGAGTGGAAATTAAGCAGAGAGATTTTAAATAAGTTTCCCAATATCACATAACTTACAAGCAGCAGCTACTAGATAGTTACATGACTCACGCAGTGTTCAGTTAGTTGCAAATGGCATGGAAAAACACCTGTAAACATCATAGAAACCATCTAAATTATCACTGGGCTTTTGTTCAGGGAATAAAAAGAACATATGGATGCCTTCTGAAAGAAAACTATTAGTATCCCAGATGTTCAAGACTGATGATCTACTTCTTTTTCAAATATATATTGGTACAATTTATATTTTTTATATTCAATAATATTTTTGACATGTTTTTTCCTCAACAGAAAGTAATACATGTTTATCACAAAATTTTTTTTATTATTTTTCTATTACACTTGCCCCAATTTTCCCACATTGCTCTTCCCTGTCCCAGCCAGCCCCAACTCCCACAGTCAATACTCACCCTGTTGTTCATGTCTATGGGTTATTTATATCAGTTCCTTGCCTAGACCCTTCCCCTTCTTTCCTCTCTTATCCCACTTCCCTCCCTGCCGATAGCTGTCAGTCTGTTCCTTGTTTCCATGCCTCTGGTTCTATTTTGCTTGCTTGTATGTTTTGTTCATTAGCTTCCTATTATAGGTGAGACCATATCAATTTGTCTTTCACCACCTGGCTTTTTTCACTTAGCATAATACTCTTCAGTTCCATCCACGCTGTCACAAAAGTTAGGATCCTTTTTGCTTTCTGCTGTGTAGTATTCCATTGTGTAAATGTACCATCGTTTTTTGATCCACTCATTTACTGATGGGCATTTAGGCTGTTTCCAGCACTTGACTATTATAAATAACACTACCATGAACACAGGGGTGCACAGGTTCTTTTGAATTGGTGTTTCAGGATTCTTAGGGTATGTTACCAGCAATGGAATCTCTGGGTCAAAAGGCAGTTCCATTTTTAGTTTTTTGAGCAAATTCCATTCTGTTTTCCACAGTGGCTACACCAGTCTGCATTCCCACCAACAGTGCAAAAGGGTTCCCTTTTCTTCACATCATCTCCAGCACTTGTTGTTTGTTGAATGGTTAATGATGGCTAGTTTGACTGGTGTGAGCTGCTATCATATTGTGGTTTTAATCCGAATCTCTATGATGGCTAGTGATGTTGAGCATCCTTTCATTTGACTATGGTCCTCTGTATGTCCTCCTTGGAGAAGTTTCTGTTCAGGTCCTCTGCCCATTTTTTAATGGGATTGTTTGTCTTCCTGGTGTTGAGTTGTAGGAGTTCTTTGTATATTTTGGGGATCAAACCTTTGTCTGAGATATGGTTGGCAAAAATGTTTTACATACAGTTCGTTCCCTTTTCATTTTAGTGTTTTCTTTAGCCATGCAAAAGCTTTTTAATTTGATATAGTCCCACTTGTTTATTCTTTCCTTTGTTTACCTTGCCCTAGGTGATATTATCGGTGAAAATTTTGCTGTGGGAGATATCTAAAATTTTACTGCCTATGTTTTCCTCTAGGACTTTTATGGTGTCATGGCTTATGTTTAAGTTTTTTACCCATTTTGAATTTATTCTGGTGTATGGTGTAAGGTGGTGGTCTAGTTTCATTTTTTTGCAAGCAATATTCCAGTTCTCCCAACACCATTTGGTGAAGAGGCTATTTTTACTCCATTTTATGCTCCTGTCCTCTTTGTCAAGTATTAATTGAACACAGAAACATGGGTTTATTTCTGGGCTCTCTATTTGGTTCCATTGATCTATGTGGCTGTTCTTATGCCAATACCAGACTGTTTTGATTACAGTGGCTTGGTAGTATAGTTTGATATCAGATATTGTGATCCCTCCTACTTTGTTCTTTGTTCTCATATCACAGAAATTTTGCAAAGCCATTAAGAAGTCATATGAATAAGGATCATAGAGCAAAATTAAAGTGAATTTCTGTCCTTACGGTATCTAATAAAACAAACAAATACTTAAAAATCCAGTGTCCTAGATGGACATGGGAAAATGGCAGAATAAGAACTCCAAAAATCTGTCTCTATTCCTCAGAAGTAATTTCAATGGCAAAATCTTTACAATGTAATTATTTTGGAATTCTAGACTATATTAGAAGTTTGTAAAATAAAAAAGAAACAGCAAACTCTGCAGAACAGGGAAACCTGCTTTCCAGAGAGACCTAATTATTAGATTCAAATGTCCAGGATTCAAATAAAAATATCAAATCATACAAAGAACAGGAATGTTAAACTCATTCAAAGGAAACAGATAAACAGAAACTGTGCTTTAAAAATACCAAATGGCAGATCTACTAGACTAAGACTAAATCAGCTGTGTTAAAGATGCTCAAGGAATTAATGGAAGATGTGCAAAAAGTAAAAATATGAACAAAATAAATATATCATTAAAGAAATTGAAAATAAATGTAAGAAACAAAAAAGTAATTTTGGATCTGAAAAGTACAATTACTGAAGTAAAAAATTTACTAGAGGAATTAAAAGACAGATTTCAGTAGGCAAAAGAATCAGGCAACATGAAGACAGGACAATGGAAATTATAAAGCCTGAGGAACAGAAAGAAAAATCAAGAAAAGTGAACAGAGCCTAGAAAACTGTGTGATACCATAAAATAGATCAATATATATGCATTGTTGGAGTCCCAGAAAAAGAGGAGAAAAAGAAATAGGCAGATAAAACATTTGAAGAAATAGCTGAAAGCTTCCCAAATTTGATGTAAGCCATAAATATGAACATCCAAGAAGCTTAATGAACTACAAGATGAACTCAAAGAGACCTACACAGAGATATATAATCAAACTTTCAAAAGACAAAGAAACTTGGAAGATAAAGGAAAGAAACAACTCTAAACATATTAGGGATCCTCCATAAGTCTATCATCAGAGTCTTTATCAAAAACTTTATAAGCAAGAAATAAGTGGACAAATATTTTTCAAGTGCCACAAGAAAAGAGAAATCTCTCAACCAAGGAGTGTCTGTCCAGCAAAACTGTCCTTCAGGAGCAAGGAAGATATTACAGACACTCCCAAATTATCAAAAGCAGAAGGGATTTATTACCACCAGACCCGCCATATGAGATATGCTTAAGGGAGTCCTGCAGGTGAACTAAAAAGATAGTAGTCAGTAACTCAAAGCCATATGAAGAGACACAGATCTTAAAAAAAGGTAAATACATGAGCAAGGTCAAAAGCTAGTATTATTGTAATTTTGGTTTTTGATTCCACATTTTCTTTTCTACATAATTTAAGAGACTAATAAATTTAAAAAATACATATTAGTTCATATTTGGTGCCACACAATGTATTAAGATGCAATTTTTCGATGTCAACAACTGAAAGGGGTGGGGACAGACTAACAAAAGAGCAGAGACTTTGTATGATATTGAAGTAACATAAGCAGGTAAAAATTCAAACTAGTGTGCTATAATTTTAGAATGGTACATGTAATCCCTGTGATATCTGCAAATAAAATATCTATAAATATATACATATTTGAAAGTTAATGAGAAAGTAATTAAATGCTTGCCTAGAAAAATAATCGACTAAGAACAAAAGTATACAGTAGCGCATAAAATGAAGGATCAAAAATGCTACATAAGGCATAGAAAACAAATAGTATGACAAGTAATTCCTTGTTTATCAGTAACTTAAATATAAATGGATTAAATCCTACAATCAAAAGAAAGATTGGTAGAATTGATAAAAAACATGATGCAAATACATGTTGTCTACAAGAAACTCACTTTATATCCAAAGACATAAATATTTTGAAAGTGAAAGGATGGAAAAAGATATTCCATGTAAATAATACATAAAAGACTACAAAGGTAGCTATAGTAATATCAGAAAAAATATACTTTAACTCAAAAAAAGATACAAGAGCTCTGGCTGGGTGGCTCAGTTTGCTGGAGTGTCTTCTCTACACCAAAGGGTTGTGGCTTCAGTCCCCAGTCAGGGCACATACCTAGGTTACATACAGGTTCAATCTCCAGTCAGGGTGTGTGTGGGATGCAGCTGGTCAATGTTTTTCTTTCTCCTTTTCTCTCTAAAATCAATAAAAATATATCCTTGGGTGAAGATTTAAAAAAAAAAGAAAGCTATACAAATGGAAAAAAAATACATACATACACACACACACACGACAAAGCAAGAAGATGTAATTATGAACATCTAGACACTTAAATAACAGACTATCAAAGTATATAAAGAGAAAATTGACAGGATTAAATGGGAAACCAGACAGTTCTACAATAACAGCAATAGTTGGATATTTCAATTCCCCATTCTTGATACTCAATAATGGAAAGAATGACAACATAGAAGGTAAGAAAATAGAGGACTTGAAGAACACAATAAAGCAACTAGATATAACACAAATTCAGAGCACTATGCTCAGCAACATAATACTCATTCTCAAGCGCACATAGGTCATTTCCCAGGATATACCTGAAAACAGAATCATCTGAAAATGTAATCAACAATGTTAAGGGGCCCTAAATTGGAGTCAGGAGGCCATTAGAGAAGAAAGGCAAATACACACCTAGATGAGGTTTGAACTTTTGGACTTTTATGATTGCTATAGAAGCCCATACTGGAATTTGCATGCCAGTGCTTACCTCAGGCTTACCATATAACACTTATCAATCCTTCTTGAACTAGTCATCACGTCAGACTGCTAGTAGGACAAGTTTCTTTTTACAAGTAGTGGTTTTTGCCTTTATAAATTCTGGCTTTCTTTGTCTTCCTAGGAGTGCATTTTAGACAGCTATCTGAATCTGTGCCTCTGGAATTGTAATCCTCTATCAAATAAACGTTTCTAATTCTTTATTATAACCTATATCTTATTTTTGATTGACATACCATAATTAGAACACAAATTACATCTTAATAGGTTTTAAAAGATAAATATACAAAGTATCTCTGTAACAATGGGGTAAAGTCAAAAATAAGAGAAGGAAAACAGCTAATTCACAAATTTGTGAAAATTAAACAACACATTCTTTAAAAACCAATACACCAAAGAAGAATTCAAATAAGAAATTAGAAAATACTTATTTAGAAATTAATGAAAAAACAATGTTCATGGCATGCATCTTATATAGTGCTAATAAAGGAGAAACTTAGAGGTATCAACTCTTAGAAACAAAAGAATATTTTAAAAAACCTAATTTTATTAAGGAACAAGAAAATGAACAAACTAAAGCAAAAACTAGCAGTGGTAAATATAAATTTCAAAGCAGATATAAACAAAGAGAGAAAAGAAAAACAATAGGATCAATAAACCAAAAGTTGGATTGTTGAAAAGATAAACAAAATGATAAATCTATAGCTAAATGCACTAAAAAAATAAAAAAAAAAGGGGAAATTCAAAATAATAAAACCAGAAGTGATAGTGAGACCATTACTACTAATTCTACAGAAATAACTAAAGGGCCCTGGCTGGTGTGGCTCAGTGGATTGAGTGCCAGCCTGAGAACTTAAAGGCTGCTAGTTCAATTCCCAGTAAGGGCATATGCCTGGGTTGCGGACCAGGTGCCTGGCTGGGGGCGTGAGAGGCAGCCAATTGATGTTTCTCTCTCTCTTTCTCTCTTCATTTCCCTCTCTCTAAAAATAAAGAAAATTTAAAAAAAAGGAAAAGTAAAAAAAAAGAACCACAGGACAGTTATAAAAGAATACTATAACCTGTATGCTTCCAAATTAGATAACCTAGATAAAATGAGTATGTAGAAACGACCAGGACTACATGACAAGACAGTAGAAAAAATAATAGACCTATAACTAGTAAGGAAATTGAATCAAATATAAAAAATCTCCTGACAAAGAAAAGCCCTGGACCTGATAGTTTCATTGGTAAATACTCCCAAATATTTAAAGAAATAACACCAATTCTTTCCAAACATCTCCAAAAATTGAAGAGAACACATCTTAACTCATTCTTGAGGTCAACATTATCTAATACTAAAGCCAAATAAATGACAACAAAACTACAGACCAATATTTCATGTGAACATGGTTGTGAAAACTCTTGAGAACATTCAGCAGCATATTAAAAAGAGAATACCCCACGATCAAGGTGGATTTATTCCTAGAATACAAGGATAGCTGAACATACAAAAATTGATCAAAGTAATCCAGCACATTAACAAAATGAAGGGCAAAAAAAAAAAACCCCAAAATTATCTTCACTGATGAAAAAAAAGCATTAAAAAAATTCATATTAAAAAAACACACACAATAAACAAACTAGTGACAGAAAAACTACCTCAACATAATAAAACCTGCAAATGAAAAACCTGCAGTGAACATGATGGTGAAAAATTGAAAGCTTTCCCTCCGTGATCATAAACAAGGCAAGGATGACCTCTTGCACCACCATCTATCCAACACAGTATTGGAGGTTCTAGTCTGAGCAATCAAGCAAGAAAAAGAATTAAAGGTACACAGATTGGAACGAGAGAAGTAAAACTGTCTGTTTGCAGATGATATAATGTTGTATGTAGAAGACCTTAAAGACTGCACACACACAAAAAATTAGAATAAATGAATTCAGCAAAGTAGGAGGATACAAAGTCAACACAAAAAATTCAGCTGCATTTCCAAAACAACATGAAAGGGAAATTAAAAAAAAAATTAATTTAAAATAGACTCAAGTAGAATAAAATACTTAGGCATTAACTTAGCCAAGAAGGTGACTGACTGACTTATATGATGAAAACTATAGCCCTGGCCAGTTTGGCTCAGTTGGCAGGTGCATCCTCCCATAACCAAAAGACTATGGGTCCAGTCCCTGCTCAGGGCACATGAGAGACAACCATCAATGTTTCTTAGTCACACTGTTGTTTCTCTCCCTTTCTCTCTCCCTTCTTTCTTTGCTCCCTCTAAGCTGTAGGGAAGACAAGAGAGAAAAAAAAAAAAAAAGAAAAGAAAACTACGAAGCACTGCTAAAAGAAACTAAAGACATTAATGGAAACACATCCTGTTTTCATACACTAAAAGACTTAAAATACTGTTAAGAACTCAATATTACCCAAGATGATCTACAGATTCAATGTAACCTCTATCAAAATCCAAATGATGTTTTTGCAAAAGTAGAAAAATACATCCTAAAATTCATAGGGACTCTTAAGGGACTCTGAATAGCAAAAAGAACCTTGGGAAAAAACAAAGCTGGCCCTGCCAGAGTGGCTCAGTTCATTGGGCATGGCCTGAAAAACAAAGGTAGCTGGTTCATTCCCACTGGTCAGGGCACATGCCTCGGTTGCAGGTTTGGTCCCCCGTTGGGGCACCATATATAAGGCAGCCATGTTTCTTTCTCACAGTGATGTTTCTCTCCCTCTCTTTCTTCCTTTCCCCTCTCTCTAAAAACAAAACTAAAAACAAGTGAACAAAATACAAAAACACCAAAGCTGGAGGACTAATACTTTCTGGTTTGAAAACTTATTACAAAGCTACAGTAATCAAAACAACTTGGTACTGGACTACAGACAGACATATAAACCAACAGAAGAGAAAGTTCAGAAATAGACACACACGCAGCATATATGGTCATTTGATTATAACGAGAGTGTCAAGACCATTCAATAGGGCAAGGACAGTTTTTTCAACAAATGATGCTAGGCAATCTGGATATCCACATGCAAAGAAATGAAGTTGGCCCCTTACCTGACACTAGATATTTTTTAAAAAATCAACTCAAAATGCATCAAAAACCTAAAGGAACAACCTGTAACTATAAATTTCTTAGATGAAAACAGGGCAAACAATTCACAACATTTGATTACGCAAAAATTTTCTGGATATGATACTAAAGGTATAGGAAAAAGAAAAAATAAAAAATTTTAAAATTTGTGCATTAAAAGACACTATTAATAACGTAAAAAGGCAACCCACAGGAGGGGAGAAAATATTTGCAAATCACTTATCTAATGACGGATTAAAATCCGTAATATATACAGAACTTCCAGAACTCTGTAACATAAAAACAAACAACCCAATTCAAAAATGGGCAAAGAATTTAGAGACATTTCTTCAAAAACAATATACAAATACACATATGAAAAGATGCTCAATATCACAAAGTAATCACTAGAGAGACTCAAATCAAGACTACAATGAAACACCGCTCCATACATTAGGGTGTCTACTATTAAAAAAACAGAAAATAAGTGTGAGGTATGATATAGAGACAGTGAAATCCTTGTACATTTTTGGTGGAAATACAAAATGGCAAAGCAGCTATGAGAAACAGGATGCCAGTTCCTCAAAAAATTAAAAATGGAATCACCACATAATCCAGTTGCTTGACTTCTGGCTATATACTGAAAAGAACTGAAATTAGGTCTCAAAGAAATAGCGGTGCACCCATGTTCACAGCAGCAATATTCACAATTGATGAAACATGGAGGAAGCAGCCCAAGTGTCCACCAATATGTGAATGGACAATCAAAATATAGTATATACATACAATGAAATACTCAACATAAAAAGGGAGGCGATTCTGACATACGCCACAGGAGTTAAAGCTTAAGGACATCAGGCTAAGTGAATTAAAACAGTCACTAAAAGACAATACTTTATAATTCCACTTATATGAAATACTCAGAACAGCAAAAAATCTTGAGACACAAAAAGTAGAATCGTGGTAGCTAGGGGTTGGGGGACAGGGTAGAATAAGGAATTATTTTTTAATGGGTAGAATTTTAGTTTTACAAGATGAAAAGTGTTCTGGATATGGGTGGATGTCTGATGATGACAGCACAATAGTGTGAATGTATTTAACATCACTAAAGCGTACATTTAAATTGTAAATTTTATGTTATGTGTATGGTAAATTTTGTTATATGCATTTTGCCAAAATAAAAAATTCTTTAAAAATGTCATAGCAATAACTTACAAAAGAGGCACATATTAACACTACAAGGAAATATAAGGCTAGAAAATTCTAGAAAAGTTCTGTACAGCTTCCAATTTCCATCCCACTCTCAAAAGCCCAGAAGTTCTCACAAAACATCAAATAAGGAGAAAAGAAAACTCAATCATAATTCA